TTTTCTCCCTCGCTGCCTACGGGTCATCAGGCAGTTCTTTGTTGAGAGAGAGAGAGAGAGAGAGAGAGAGAGAGAGAGAGAGAGAGAGAGAGAGAGAGAGAGAGAGAGCTGCCCGGTGAATAATGTATATGCACTGTGGAATATTTGGTATTGTGTACCATCAACGTCTATATACAGTGACCATGGGTTATCCCTTATGGTCGATGAACAACGGAAATTCTTGTTGGGAAAAGAAGGGTGGGGGACAAGGGAGGTCATTTAAAAAATAAAGAAGACAAAAAAAGGGAGGTGGGGGTTGGGGGTATGGTCGACGTCCTGCAATGTTTTGGTTGGGACACCCAACTTGAGGAGAAGTTGAGGTCGTGCTGACCAAATGGCATGTAGTCGCTCACAGGTGGATTTGAAGGGATGTATCCGACCGTTTTCACTTCCTGATTCATTCGCGAAAAGCCCTACCCGTCTTCCCCCTTGTAAAACTTACGGTTATGATAGCTGGAATTTGGGGCAACTTCCAGTCTAGATTCAGCGATAATGGCCGTACGTTCTATTCGGAGGGGAGGGTGGCTACCGCAGCGTAAGCTCTCCCTTCAAGACCTGATGGGACTATGATTACCAGTAGCTGGCTCAGGCTAAGGTCATCATCGTATCGGTAAGTCTCAAATCGATGATGAGGAATTTTGAGACATACTGATTGGGATCTCAGAAACAGATTGGGTTGGGACGCTCGTCTGCAGTCACTAAACTGTACTGTTAAGTACTCCACCTGTTCTGAGTAATTGATGGGAACTCCTTTTTTTTTTTTTCATTTTAAGTGCAGCACACTAAGTAACCTTGCCTCTTGTGGGTATAATCAATTGGGACTTTAATTTTTTCTTTTGTCATCGACTGTTAGGTAACCCTAACTGCTCTTCGCCGTCCTTGGCCGTCTTTGAAATTCCGATCAATTTTTGAATGTCCACGGCTAACTTACGCTGTCGTGCTGAGTGGAGTTATCTCATCCACATCATCCACATCATCCACATCATCCACATCATCCACATCTCATCCACATCATCCACATCATCCACATCATCCACATCTCATCCACATCATCCACATCTCATCCACATCATCCACATCTCATCCACATCTCATCCACATCATCCACATCATCCACATCATCCACATCTCATCCACATCATCCACATCTCATCCAAATCATCCACATCTCATCCACATCTCATCCACATCATCCACATCATCCACATCATCCACGTCATCCTCGTCATCCACATCATCCACATGACACATCATGCATATCGAGTTCGTAGGGTCATCAACGTCATGCATATCGTCCACGTCATCGGCATCATTCGCATCATCCAAATCATCCACGTCATTCATGTCATCTGCGGCATCATTCACGTCATCTACCACTTCATCCACGTCATCTATCACTTCATTCACGTCATCTACCACCTCATCCACGTCATCCACATCATCCACAGCATCCACGTCATCTGCCACATGATCCACGTCGTCATCCACGTCATTTACCACCTCATCCACGTCATCCACAGCATCCACGTCATCTGCCACATGATCCACGTCGTCATCCACGTCATCTACCACCTCATCCACGTCATCTACCACCTCATCCACATCATCCACGTCGTCTACCACATCATCCACTATGTACGACATCATCCTCATCATGCATCATCCACATCATCCACATCATCCACATCATCCACATCATCTGCATCATGCACATCGTCCACATCATCTGCATCATCCACGTCGTCCACATCATCTGCATCATCCACTTCGTCCACATCATCTGCTTCATCCACATCGTCCACATCATCTGCATCATCCACATCATCCATTATCCACGTCATGTACGACATCATCCTCGTCATTTACACCATCTATCACATCATCCTCATCAGGTATCGTTTCATCCATTTCATGCTCATCATCCACCGCATCATCCACGTTCTTCTTGTCCACATCCCCGTCCTCATACTGCGCGATCCACTTTATCCACATCATTCACATGGTTCACTTCAAGAAAAGTTTATATCCACGTCATTTTTGTCTTTGCTGTAGTCTTTTTCGTTGACGATTTCATTTTCCTGTTTCCGATTACCGGGTTCACTTTCCCTGCTTTTTTGCCCTCCCGACTTTTCTTAAACCCACTACCGTCTTCCCCCGAACATAACGCACCCGGATACTGAATGTATGCAAGCCATATTTCCAGCCAGGTACAGTCAAAATGAGGGTGCGTTGTGTTCGGCGGCGGAAGACGGTAGTAGTACTTTTCTTGAGAGTCGCTATTTTTTAATCAATCCTAAAGGTTCGGGGACATGGGACAGGGCCCGCCTGGAGGCGGCCGGAAATCATAATTTTTTGTTCAGTGCTGCACCTGGTCTCACCGGCCGGAAATAAAATTTCCGTTCAGTGCTGCACCTGGTCGCACCCCAAGGCATGGTACAATTTGTCGGCCCTGTCCCGATCCGCCAAAATTCTAGGAGTGATCAATCGTGATTCTCATGCTGGTTGGTGCCATGTACTGGTGGTTTAATAAAAAATGAATTGATATCTTTTTTGTTTCCTGTTGTTTTTTTGGCTTTTGTGCTCTGATATTCATGTGACAATATATGCTGCTACCTTAGCTTCACAATTGGCTCTTTGCCGTGCTGCTGTTTTGCGTCACTGTGAGTGCAATATGGCTGCCGCATCACCTTTGCGACAGCCTCGCTCTTTGCGACACGCACATACGGCCCTGCGGCAGCTCCAAAAATCCTTCGCAATTGTTCCTGTGGATAAAACATCACAGAATCTGGCTATCTGTTGTAAAAACTGGTATCGTTTTAAGATTTTTCTGCCCATCTTGACAGTCCTACATATTCTGCTCGCTGAAACAGCGGCTGACATTCTGAATAGCCATGCACTTTGGAACAATCATTGGAATTACCCCATGATGCTCACACATTGCCGTATCTTTATTGCGCTTTTAAGGCCCATATAAGTCTCCTTCCACACTCCGTACTATTCTTGGTATTACTGCCCGCAACAATCTTTCTTCTTCATCTTCTTCTTCTTCTTCTTCTTCTCATACGGCCCAGCGGAGTGACCTGTGCCCCTCCCAACGAGTCCAGCGTTTGCATCACCGACCGCCTCACAAGCCTGTTGCTAGTACAACACCTACATCGGCTCGTTTGAGTGCGGCACTTCAAGGCGTCATCCGTACTCTCCGTGAAAAAGATAATCAACTCTTCCAATCCAAAGGTATTCGTCGATGTTGGATTGTCCAGAGCAGTGACGAGGTCATGCTTGACCTCAAAAAGAATAAAGCTTCTCTCCGAGGTCTGGCCCCCCATACGGTCGATTTCACTACTATGTATACTAATCTTTCTCATCAACATGTTCTTGACAATGTTGCTAAGGCTGTTGATGAGGCTGTGATGAGGCACATGCCTATGCTGTTGCACAGGCACAGCAGCGGCATACATGGACACGCTACGTTCATCCTGTGTTGCTCTTCTTCGTATGGTGGTCCGTGGACCACGTGCAGGGGAATGGACTACGGATATGGGACCTGACACTCTTTCTGTGTCTGACATTCTTCAACATCTTCGGTTTATTGTTGCTAATACATATCTATATACAGCGGATGGCCTTGTTCGTCATCAAGACGTGGGTATTCCCATGGGTACAAACGCTGGTCATGAGATTGCTAACCTCACACTCTATTGGGATGAGGCGCAGTACGTGGACAACCTGCAGCGTGTGGATCCCTCTGCAGCTCGCCGATATGTTTTCACTTATCGGTTCATTGATGATGTTCTTACTTTTGCTTGTCTGCCACCATCGCCAACCTATTATGGTCTTGAATGGAAGGAGACCACTGCGGCTGATGGCTCTTGCACTTTTTTAGTTGCCAAACTGCAGACACGAGCAGATGGATCTCTCCGATTGAGTGTGTTTGACAAGACTGTTGCATGGGCTTTCCCTGTTATACGATATCCTAGTGCAACGTCAAATGTTCCGTCTCATCAGCCTGCAGGTGTGTTCACCGCCCAGCCTTCGCGGTTTGAGCAGATAGATTTCTGACAACAATTGGCATATGATTTGATTTTAGAGCTACTGCGGCAACCATGCCTGTCCGCCCTTTGCTTTCCCGTGGTCTTGCCATGCTCCATGCTCCTTCGAGAGATTGTCCCAGCACGGAGCAACCATGCTCCCGCCAAAAGGACCCCCCGACAATCCTGCGGCAACCAGGATGGACTTTGTTACATTCGTGATCGCCAATGTCAACAACCTATACATGTAACTCGTCTTACACAATGGTTTCGACGTATGCTTCGCTGGTCCCGACATCATCCCCTTCCACCTTCTCCTCCTCTTTCCTTCGCTTCTCCTTCTCACTCTCCCCCTCCTCCTCCCTCTCCCTCTCCTCCTCCCTCTCCCTCTCCTCCTCCCCCTTCCTCTTTTCCATCTTCTCCTCCTCCTCCTCCGCCTCCCCCTCCCCCTTCTTGTCCATCTTCCCCTCCTCTGTCTTCCCCCCCTTCCTTTCCACTTCCCCCTTCTTCTCCCCTTCCCTTCTCCTTCCCCTTCCATTTCTCCTCCGCCTTCCACTCCCTCTCCCCCTCCCTCTCCTTCTCCTTCCTCTTTGCCAACGACCTCTTCTTCTTTTTCTTCTTCTTCTTCTTCTTCTTCTTCTTCAGCCGGTTCTTCTTCTTCTTCTTCTTCTTCTTCTTCTTCTTCTTCTTCTTCTACTACTTCATCATCCGTTTCTTCTTCTTCTTCTTCTTCTTTTGCCCCCCCACGCCGGCTGAGATCGGCCCCTCCTTTCTCTTCGTTGTCTATATTGGGACGTCGGCAGGTCGTTCATTCTCTCCTCCTCCCAGTCCCCCTTCCTCTCGATGTCGTGTTGATGCTAATCTGCGGGGTTCTTTGTCTTACCAACAGCCTTCTCTGCCACGTCGACGGCGTTCGTCATTCATGCGCCGACCCCGCCAGATCAGACCGATCAGACCTGGCTTTCGAGTGGTGACCGAATCGGATCTGCGGCAGATCTACCAAATTCTTGTGGCTTGACAGCCACAAATGTTTCAACATAAATGATTTTTTGTGTGCATTGCCGAATCATACTTTATTCTGGATTATTGACCGACTCTCGTGTGACACCTGTCGGGACAGGGACGCGGTGTGCCTTCGCTGTGGAATTCATTCATCACCTATGCCATCAACATTATCAATCTATTGCAGCCGCCGCCGTCTGTGCCGAAGGGTGTCCAACGTTTCCTCGTTGTACACATACCTATCACCCAGATATTCGTTGTCCCTTTTGTGCTCAAGGACGCTATCAGGACTGCATGATGCCGCACTGTGATGAACATCCTGCTGTTTTTTTTGAGATGTGGACAGCATGTCCTTTGTCAGGACTGTTTTGATGGGATGGTCCGTGCTAGCCGTCCTGCTGAATGCTGTGCTGAAGTAGCTCTCCTTGGGTATCCTTGTGAACGTCCACGTCATCCTCAGCGTGCCTGTCCTATCTGCCGGGGTGGGGTGGGGGCTCCTCTTCCTGACTGGTCAATAGAATCAAGCACATCAGGCAGAACAGTAATTGTAGGACAGATAAAGCTGTCGATGCTACCAACAGATGCGGCGGTGAAGAAAGAAGAAGAAAAAATTGAAAAAACGAAAAGAAAAAAAGAAAACAAGAAAACAAGAACAGATTGCTGAACAAAAAAAAAAAACCTTGAACTTTGATGTGACAGTGGCAATTGGTTTATCTGTGGGATGTGTCATTTGCTTTGTTTGACTGATAGGCCTTCCTCTTCTTTGCCCGGGCAGTTCTGTTTGACGGTCCTTTTATGTGGGAATCATAATCTAGGATTGTTTACGGTGCTTTATGTGGGAATCATCATCTTGGATTGTTTTTTATGATGTCCCGGTACGAATTGCTTACGATGACGCCGAATAGGAATACCAACTTCTTGATGTCGAACAAGGCCATCTGCTGTGTATAGAATCTATAGATATGTATCTGGGACTTTTTTTGATTTCTTTGCAGAGAAGAATGTTTTGACATCCTGGTTGGTCTTGGCCCGTCGTTTAAAAAACGAATTCATGTTTTTTTTTTTTTTTTTTTTTTTTTTTTTTTTTTTTTYKYTTTTKGSYTYTKWTATTCATGTGTACTTYTTTGGGCATTTAACTTTGACGTTCCTGGCTGCAATTTCGGCGTTTTTGAACGCGAAATCGTCAGGGCTTACGGGGTTCTCGCCAGTAGGACCTGACAATTTCGGTTAAAAAAACGCCGAAATTGGGGCCAGGAACGTCGAAGGTAAATGCCCAAAGGAGTATATTATTATATTATTATATTATTATATTATTATATAACGCAGATTGCACATGCCTTCAGCAGACGCGCAGATGAGTAGCAACCCTTGTGACGTTCTTTTCCTTCTCTTTTTCTCTGGTTTTCTTCTTTTATATTCCCTTTCCTTCTCTTTCCTCCTCTTTTCATCTCTTCTCTTCTCTTTCCTCTTCTTTCGTTCTTTGTTCTAAGTTCTTCTCTTTTCTTCTTTTTCTTCTGTTCTTCTTTTCTGCTCTTTTCTGCTCTTTTCTGCTCTTTTCTGCACTTCTGCTCTTTTCTGCACTTTTTTGCACTTTTCTGCACTTTCTGCACTTTTACGCTTCCCTATTTCTGCATTTTTCTGCACTTTTCTGGACTTCTTTTTTCTGTTTACCCTCTCCCACAGCTTACCTTTCCTCTATCCCTCTCTCTCTGTGTGTTTACTCACAATTTTTTTTTTCTTTTTCTTTTCTCAATCTCCCTGTTTCCCTCCCTCTCTTTTGTCTGCTTAAGCCTCAATTCTTTTCTGCACTTTTCTGCACTTTCCTGCACTTTTTTTTTTCTTTTACCCTCCCCTATTTCTGCACTTTTTCCGGACTTCTCTTTTCTGCTTACCATCTCCCACAGGTTACCTTTCCTCTCTCCCTCTCTCTCTCTGTGTGTTTACTCACGTCCCTCCCCCCCCCCCCCTTCAATCTTCCTCTTCCCCTCCCTCTTTTTTGTCTGCTTAATCCTGAATTTGTTTTTCCCCAAACCCGATTTCATTTGCAGGTGCGGAAAAAGGCACAGAACTGTGTGGCAGCGGTGTTGTTAGGGCTGCGTGGCTGTGCGGCACATGGTGCGGCGAGTGAAGCCATTGTCTCCCTCAGCGAGAGGCTGTTTGCTGAAGCGATGGCTGTGCCAGGGGCACAAGAGGAAGACGACGATGACGAAAGGGGGGGTAGATCGAAGTCCAAGAAAAAAGCTATGGCGGTTAGTTCCTCTCAGGCTGCTGCTGAGGCTCTTCATCTCCTCGGAGCCATGAAGCAATTGCTGCCGTTGATGTCAGCCAAGGCGATTGCGCGGGCAAGCCATCGGATGGCCAACCTCTGCTCGCTCCAACAGCCAATGCTGACCAGACTAGTGGCCAATGCCATCAAGAGCTTATCTGATGAGGTGGCGGGAAAAACGAGCTTATCCGATGACGTGGCTGGAAAGGGAAAGAGCGAGGTGGTGCCAGATGTATTGGCAGAGACAGTTGTCAATATCTTAGAGTTGGAGGAGGAAGGGAGGATTGGTCGCAAAAGGGATCCCGACGTGATAATGACCATTCTGGAAATGGTGAAAAGCACATTCCTGGATCTGCATGATCGGGATCGCGCAGTTTGCTCCAAGAAACTTCCGCAAGTCTTCAATCTTCTAGCTGGTAAAGTCTTTCTCTCTCTCTCTCTCTGTGTCTCTGTCTGTGTCTCTCTTTCCCCTCTCTCGCCTCTTCCGTACCCTTGCCTTGTCCCCTCTGTCTCTCGCTCTCTTGTTCCATCACTTTGGCTTTCTCCCCTGCCTCTCCCTCTCTCTCTCTCTCGTTCTCTCTCTCTCTCTCTGTGTCTCTCTCTCTTTCTCTCTTTGTCTGTAATATACATATTGATGCTTAACCACAACCAGGGTTAAGGGGAGCTCAAAAGCTGCAGAGCAGCAAGCTGTCTTAAAGGGTGTCCTTGTGGGAATGGGGTAGGTGGCATGCACCAGTGTTTTGCATATACGTCCACGTGGGCGGCCTTGTATGCAAGAGGTTCTGAACAGGGGGAGTTGTAAGGAAGAAGATAAAAAATTAATTGATATCTTTTTTGTTTTTCCTTTGTTTTTTTCGCTTTTGCACTCTGATATTTATGTGACGATATATATCCTATCCCTCTCTGCCTACGGTTTACCATACCGGGCAGTGCTGTTTGACGATATATGATATATATATTGTCAAACAGAGCTGCCCGGTAAACCGTAGGTAAGAGACTGAGAAGAGGACAGCAAACGAGGGGCTGTGACAAACTGTTTCGTCGGAGTTTCACCGACTCATCAGGAGGCTAAACCCTTATATATCGTCAAACAGAGCTGCCGGGTAGACCGTAGGCAGAGAGGGAGAAGACTTCAACAAACGATTGGCTGTGACAAACTGTTTCATATATAAGGGAAAAAAAACAACAAGAAAGAAATTGCACTCAAGTGGAACAATTTAGTCCATTGGACCCTTTGTGTTTTGTAACTAGGAATAACAAAACACCAAATTTGATAACTGAAAAATGGAAAACAAGAAAAAAGGGCGAAGCTTAGAGAAGTTTGCATATTATTCCATTGATTCCTTTTCATATAGGAAACTTGTGTCTTTCTTTTTGCTAATTCATCTTTGTTTCGAAATCGGTTATTATACAGTCCTTGCGTTCCTCCTGGTTGTTTATTTTACGCTCTCTGTTTTCTCTGGATATGGAAGTGACGGGGTTGAAGAAGGTGATCGGTCTATCCATGTCCATGTGTCAAGCCATGAATGAAGACTTAGGTTCTCTCTCTCTCTCTCTGTCTCTCTCTCTCTCTTTCTCTATGTGTTCACCTTGTTCTTCCATCTTTCGTTGGAATCATTTTTTTTCCCCCCCCTGAATTCCTTTTTGTCTTTTTTTTCCTTGCAGGTAACTTGGCCTCTGAGCAGGAGGAGGTTGTTTTTGGCACGGCCGACTGTTTGAAGTTGCTGATTGTATGCTGCATCGATGATGAAATGATTAACGAAGGCCAGATGCAAGTGGGACTGGTTGCGGAGAGGAGGAAGGGTGGGCTCACACCGATCGAGCGCCTCTCTGTTATGGTTGAGGGCTTGCTTGGGTATCAGTATGCCAGTGCGTGGGAAACCACCCTTGTGGTGGTTTCGACCTTCCTGGAAAAACTAGGTGAGAGGATCCAAATTGTGTGAAGCACTACACACACTTATTAGTAATCCAGTTTCGTTTTCAATTTGAAAATATCAGGACTCTAAAATTAAAAAATTGAACCCAGTGTCCTTGTGGACATCCGTTAAGGTTGGAGCAATACAGAGAAGGGTAATTAGCATGGCCCCTGCACAAGGATGACACACATAAATCACGAAATGGTCCCCCCCCCCCCCCACAAAAAAAAAAAAAAACCTTGGACCCAGTTTTCTGTGCGCTTAATTTTTTCCTCTTTGTCTTAAATTTGTTGAGTTCGTTTGTTCGTTCATTCAAAATAATAAGTGCAAACTCACACTAGCACTTTTTTTGCATGTTCCGGAACGGAATTGCGGCCCGATGCATACAGATCTGGCCGTAAATGTGGTCAGATACATTAAAAAAAATAGTGCTAGTGTGAGTACGCCCTAATACTGATTGGCACTGTGAGAGGGACGAGAGAGGAGCAAGCAAGGGAACACATGCCTCAGTTTTGCAATCTAACAAGTTTGTTGAAGATATGTCTGGCTTAAAAACAAACAACGGGAAAAAAGAAAAAAGAGAGGAAGACAAAGAAATGGCGTGGTTACTCTGAATGTCATCACAGGAAAGAAAAAGGAAATGCATTGGAATGATTTGCTCTGTGGGATGTAATCCTTTGGATCGTCCTCTTTTTCCTCTTCTTACTCTGCAGAAGCAGTTGGGATGTAAATATATTCTGGTGTAGGTACGTGGGGATCTACACCAGAATATCTTGATGTCTGGGAAATCCCTTGCCTGCATGTCTGTTTGGCATGGCCAGAAAGAAATGAGAAAAGATGGATGTGGGCCATGGATGGCTGATTGCAGATGGTTGGGAGATCATTAACGGCTGACTGTGGTGATTGACCATGGAGGGTTGGCCATAGATGGTAACCTGACGCTGCAAAGAAAAATGCGTGGAAAACTGTTGTGCTTGTTGTAATTTGAGATTTTGTGTGTGTGTGTGTGTGTGTGTGTGTGTGTGAGAGAGAGAGAGAGAGAGAGGAGATGGTTAACCTGAGATGATTGACCAAATTAGCAAAACGGCAAATCCCCCAATACTCACTTATCTTCCACACATCTGCTCCTTCCTCCGTCCCTTCTGCTCCTCCTCCACCACCTCCCCGTCCAGTTCCGTCTTCCCTTAATTCTTGCTTGTTCTTCACCACTTGTCTAGCCATTAATCAAGGGGCCGACGTCCCTGCGCCCTAGCTCTCTTTCTTGGGGCTTCCAGGGGTGTTTCTAATCAATATTGCTCTCCTCCTCCTCCCCCCCCCTTCTACCTCCTCCTCCTCCTCTCCCACCTGCACCATAGCTTTTCAATCCCATCTCATCCATCTTCTCTTATCCTGTCGTCACTGTCGCAAAAAGTACTTCCTCCACTACTCACTTCAATGACAAAACCCCTCCCTCCCTCTCCCTCCCTCTCCCTCTCCCCTCCCTCCCCTTCCCTCCCCACCTCTTCGCCCCCACCCAACATCCCATTCTCCAGCGTGCTTCTTCCTCAGAGTTGGACATTTGGATCGTCAGAATAAGGAAGGCCGTTTTGTGAATGCTCTCTTTGTTCTCAGTGTAGATGTGGTTTTGGGTGTGTGCACATGCACTCCGATTCTTGAATCGGATTTGATCTGCCATTATGTGGGCACACGGCTTTATGTCTCTTTGTCTTTTTTGGATTCTCGCTTATGTGTTCTGTTGTGGCATTAAAGTACATGGTTCTGCTGTGTTGAGTTCAAATTCACTTCATGGCTCTTAACGGCTCTTTAGAAGTTTGAATTCCTCTTTAGACGGCTCTTGACAAGTTCGCTTCAACATTCGAGTGAGTTATAACTCGGAGCGAACAGCAGTGAAACTGGGGTCTGCTGTTCACTTTGAGCTTGATGGCGGTTCTATTGCTGTTGCTGCTGCATTGGCTATGTCACTCTCCTGTCCTTGCTGCATTTCTGCCTTTGCGCTCTTTTCCTCCTCCTCGTCTTTCCTTCCGGTCCCCCTGAACAACCTCTCTTCTTCACTTTCTAACAGCTTGCTTTCTTATTCGAACTTGTTCTTGGCTATCCTTTTGCTTCTCTCTCTCTCTCTCTCTCTCTCTCTCTCTCTCTCTCTCTCTCTCTC